GGGATTTTTGAAAAAAGTGAAGAAATTACAGAAATCAAATTGCTTATTGGGGTGAGCAGTAAAATTTATGCAAACAATATCATGAAATGATTAGATGAAGGACTACAGAGAATCTAACAGGTTCCCTGCTGGAACCAGGAAGATGTAAAAAGTCTTAGAAATTCTTCATTGCACCATCTCTCCTAATTGTATTCCTAGGATATTTCCACGGTGGATGACTCCCTCCCTGTGTCCTTGCGCAGCTGGGCTATGTGTTTCCTGGGGATAATCAGCACCCTTGTCATGATCTGCATGGTCACCCCTGTCTTCACCATAGTCATCATTCCTCTTGGCATTATTTATGTGGCTGTTCAGGTAGGTTTGGAAATGGCCAGGTGTGCCTTCCTCTCTACTTATAAAAGCCCAGGCTCCTTCCTGAGAATTTTCTCTTCTGTTTATTGCTTAGCCACTCACTAGTCCCCAGCATCTTTGCCATTTAGTCATGTATTGATATACTGAGGGGCCCATAGGCCACTCTCTGAAGCTGAAGAGTCAGCATCAATTGTGGTACGATTCACAGCAAATCTTACCCAAACTACTGCCCCCTAGAAGCTTAAGTGGGACAGTTATGTCTGGATCCAAGGCTACTTGGAGATTGGCTCTGGACAGTCTTGCAGCTCCATAAGAAACCCTGCAATGGTTAGGTCATTTCTAGAAGAGTTGTGCCATGGCTGCTTCCTAGGTTGGCTTTGAACAGACGTATCTGCTTGGAGAAGTCTCTCAGCCTGAGGTAGATCCCTTTCATTTCACTTAGGGGCATTTCTAGTTTCACTGGGGTATCTGTGGATGGTTTAGGCTCAATTCTAATGTATTCTTTGCGAGTACAGGTAGCTTGAGAGCCTAGCCCCACAGAAAAACTGGAACCAAGAGGAGGTCCCCATGTCCATAATAAAAACTGATGAGGAGAGGGCATCTGTGGGCAGAACTCTTGTCCCACCAGTTGTCTTGTGATGGACTGACTGTCACCTATGGCAAAACAGTTCCACAGACCCTATAGTCAGGGTCTTGTGGCCTTGTGGCCTGGTGGCATTCTGGTGTTTGTGTGCAGTTCCTCAGGTACATAACAACTTTCTGACTGTTGTGCAGTTCCTCAGGTAAATAACAACTTTCTGACTGTAAATAACAAACCAGCAAATGAGAAGCAGGATGATTTGAGGAAACTTCCATGTATAGCATTTTGCATTCCGACTCTCAAATACCTAGTTCTTCCTAGGTTTCAATAAATCCTCACACCTTTCATTCCTTCCACTATCTTGCAATGTGAGACCACTGGGACACCATCACCACCACCAGATGTGTTCCTTGGACTTTGGATTTCCCAGCCTCAGAAACTAGCTGCTGGTCAACCTCCTATCAGTGCCAGTGAGCTCACTTCCTCTATGTCCTCCAAAGACATCACTGCTCCCAACTTGATCCCCAGACCGCCCAGTGTGCACGGAGCAGGGTGATGTCCAGCAGGGGAGGCGGAAGTTCCGCAGAGACCACATGCCCTGTGGTGCTGGCACACAACCCAGCAAGTAAGCCTCACCACTGCCACCTGACTCCATCCCCAGCCCAGACGAGTGCATGCTGGTCAGAGAGGCGCCTCCCTGGAGAGGCCCAAGACCCGAGGCAACGACACATACAAGGCACTAGCCGCCAACTGAGCAGACACTGAGGTAGTCATACCAAATTGGCAAACCCAGCAACATACTAGCCAGACAATAGTGTGAAACCAGTGGACTGTGAAACCCCCTGCCACAATGACTAAACATCAAAGAAAAGATACCAGAAATATGAAAAATCAAGAAAGTACAGCACCAAAGGGTATTAACTGTAAAGCTCTAGATCCTGTAGAACCAGAAGCCCTTGAAATGTCTGACAAGGAATTTCAAGTGATATTTCTAAGGAAACTGAATGAGATAAAAGAAAACACAGCTAGACAACATGATAAAATGAGGAAAAGTATACAGGACCTGAAAGAAGAAATGCACAAGGAAATCAATGCCCTGAAAAAGAATGTAGCAGAGCTTGCCAAGCTGAGGAATTCATTCAATGAAATAAAAAACACAACAGACAGTTTAACCAGGAGGCTTGCAGAAGTAGAAGAGAGAACATCTGACCTTGAAGATGGGCTGTTTGAAATAACACAGGCAGACAAAAAAAAAATGAATTAAAAGCATTGAAGAAAATCTAAGAGAGATATCAGACAACCTTAAGCGCTCAAATATCCAAGTCATGGGTATTCCAGAAGGGGAGGAAAAAGGAGATTGCATTGAAAACATATTCAACAAAATGGTGGCAGAAAACTTCCCAGTTATTGGAAAAGACACAGATCTTCAGATTCAGGAAGCTCAAAGATCCCCAAATGTATTCCACCCAAAAAGTCTTCTCCAAGACATGTTATAGTCAAATTGGCAAAACTCAAAGACAAAGAGAGAATCTTAAAAGCTGCAAGAGAAAAGCATCAAATCACCTATAAGGGAGGCCCAATCCGACCAACATCAGACTTTTCATCACAAACCCTAAAAGCCAGAAAGGTATAGGATGATATATTCAAAATATTAAAAGACAGAAATTGCAAGCAAGGAATACTCTACCCGACAAGGTTATCCTTCTGAAATGAAGGGCAAATAGTATATTTCTCAGACAAACAATAACTGTGGGAGTTCACTACCACAAAACCACACTTACAAGAAATTCTCAAGGGAGTACTGGGTTTCTCACCTGAAAAACAACTACCACTGCCATAAAAACCCTAGAAAAATCAAAACCCACTAGTATAATAAAAATGGCATCCATGAAGAGAAAACAAACAAAAAGGCTATCTACAATGCAAGGAACCAACAAATACAGATAACAAACAGTAAATCAGAAAGACAAGAACAAAAGACACCTAAGACA